TGAAGGAAAATTAACGAAAAACAGTAAAATAATAAAAGAAAAGAAGAAATGAACAAAGAATTTAGAAATAATGTTGTCGAATGAGATCAAATAAATAAATAAACATAAGCGAAACATAGAAGAAAAGAAAGGCGGGAAATATCATTTAACGATAAAATTAAGGAAGAAAAAAAAACAGAAAAAGGAAGAAAAATGACAAATAGAAAGACAGAAAAATGATACCAACCGGACAATAATCCTAGAATGATATGAAAAAAAAAAAAATAATAAGTGAAGCAAAAAAGGAATAAAAGAAAAGAGCGAAAGATCATTTAGCGATAAATTAAAGAATAAAAGAAAGAAAGAAACTTGAAGGAAAAAGATTAATAACGAAAATCAATAAAAGAACAGAATTCAGATGTTTAAAAGAGAATAAAAAAAGGAAGATATTTTAAAACAAAAAAGAAGCGAAAAGAATTATAGTATACAAAAAGAAAGAAAGACAAACAAAAAAGAAGGACTGGGGAAAAGAAATTATGGATAAATATAAAGAAATTATAGAAAAGATGAAGAAATTAAATATAAAAAAGAGGAAAGCAATTTGGTAAAAACGGTAAGAGTGAAGAAATAAATAAAAAAAATAAAAAGAATAAAAGCAAAATAAATTATAAAATCCATAAAGAAATATGGAATGAATCGAATAAAGGAATAACGAAAGAAAGAAAACATTTAAATTCAAGAAATAAAATGAAGAAATAAAGAAAGATAAAAAGAAAGAAATCAAAGAAAGTCTGAAAAAAGGCAATAATTTGTCAGAACGAAAAGGAAATGACAAGACGAAATCAGTAAAGAAAGTAAAAAACAAAAAAAAAACAAAATTAGGAAGGATGTTCGACAGCTGGCTAGACTTTACTTGCAGACATCCGTCTCTGCGCATGCTTGTTTGAAAAGGAGCAAAAATTGCCGTATTACACCAAATAGGAGATGACAGTAGAAATATCTTCTCTCACCGAAAATATTCCTCTTTTGTACTTTCTGATTTTTTTTTATTTTATTTTATGTTTATTGTCTACTTCAATTGTAACAACTCAACTCTATCCGTTTTTCTTAGTTTCTAGTTTTCTTTTTCCATTTATTTGAACTTTAAATATTCTTTGGCCATCTTAAAACATTCATTTTAAATGTTAGTTCTTTCCAAAGTTATAGGCTTTTGCTCTGTACCTATATTTTCTTTCTAATTTAATTTTACCGCCTTTTCTTCTTCCTTTTCTTTCCAATCGAATTTTCCCGCGTTTTCTTAATTTTTCTACATTGTTATTTATTTTGATGTTTGTCTTTTCTTCAACTAACAATTGTTTCCCTCTTTGTTTTTTTCCTATTTCTGTAATTGTGGGTTTCCCCACTTGACTTTAATAAAAAAAAAAACCGCCGCTAGGGGACGCTCCTTAAGGTAAAGATATTCTCTACCATGCGCTTTCCTTTTTTTTTTTTATCTTAGACAATAAGATGTAGTCGCACGTGGGAAAAAAGTGGAGCAAGTTAACTTTACTTTCAAGGCATTATTTTCTCTCAGATTTTGCCGACACAAACTTCAAACGCAAGCACATTATCTAGTTTAAATGCTTTCTATATAACTAGAGTTTAAACGTTTTCTTCTTTTATTGTCTATGTATACTTTTATTAATACGTACATTGTTTTTTATTTTATATACTTGTCTTGTCCGGAGCGTACAACGGCCGAAACGTCATGAATATGGCAATAAAGATGAGGACAACAGTCCGAACAATGTAAATACAGTGTAACCCGGATATAAGAGAGTTGTCGGGACCGGAGAAGAAGTCTCTTATATCCGGGTTTCTCTTATATCCAGGTTTGGTCTATTTTATATACATTAACACAGGCTCTAATTTGGGACCAGAGAAAATCTCTCTTATATCCGGGTTTCTCTTTTATCCGGGTTACACTGTACTGCAAATAATTACAATACCTCCTTTCAGAAATATAGATAGATATGCTTTTGTGCTACTCGGACTCACATTCGTGTTTGCAATCATTTTTACAGGAAAAATGTACCAGAAGACACGTGTTTTCTTCATAAATGCAACTTGCATTTCCGCAATATAGTTACATCTTTTCGAAAATGTCCCACCTTTATTTCTTCCCTAATTACTGACAGCTTTATTCTTTTTCATTCGCTTTATATCACTTTCATTTTATCACAATAGAAGTAGATAGGTTCTCCTATCGTAAGTTAGAATTTACACGCCGGTTTTTGAAGAGGAGGAGAGGTGTATCCTTTATTTCATTGATTGATTCCTTTTTATCAAATCTTTGCTGTTTATTTAAGCCGAAAAAATATATTCAGAGTGTAAGAATTTTTGACTTCGGTTTTCTGTGTCAAATTTTGCGACATCTGTTACTACACTACGCACTATCTCATATTTGTGACTTTGTGCACGAACTAGGCTAAATAAAAAAAATACTGATTATCTTCCGCTTGAAATTCTAAATTGAATTGAATAATATAGTGTAATCTGGGAGGAATAAATAGGAAAACATTTATAAAAACACTTATAAATCTAACATCTGTCGATATTTCTGAGAGGGTAGCCATTGATACATGGGTTGAAGTAATCTAAAAAGTGATGTCCCTCAAAAACAGACATCACTTGCGATTACAAGACTCTACCCCCGAAAACTAAATAAAAGATTCGGTTCGGAATTCCAACATATATAACCTGATGAAGGCTGGGGCGTATAATGGGCAATTGTGGTAATAAATATGAAAATAGCCCGAAAGATGTACATAGTGTTAATATTTATAAATCTGGCGTGTTTCGTCAATTTTATTGCAGCTCTATAAAAATAAATAAATAAATAAAACAATTCGGAAAAAACTACAAAGCGTAACACGTAAAATTAAAAAAAAAAAAGTTTTCTTATGTGTCCCTTATTTAATCATATTCTTGATTTTAGTTTTTTCTTCTGAGGATGCAGCAGAAATGCCTCCCACATATAGCTCCCAGAAATGCCTCACACATAAGTGACAATGTCGTCTTCACCTAGCAATTATCTTACCACTAGCCGCATGGCGCGACGTTGCCCGTGCTAGATTAAAAAATCGTACGACTCATACAGCAATCGCTATCACTTGACTAAAAATATTTTTGCCCTTCCTTGCCTTTAAAGGAGTGCCCTTTGCCATGCTGATATTGCTACATGTCTTACTTCTTGCCTATCACATACTGCGAATTTTTTCTAAGCTCTATACTAAACATTAAATCTGTTACGAAAAAAGAACTAAACAAAATGAACACAAAACGATCAGCTTTAAAAAAGGACTCGTAACTGGAAAAACCGAATGAAAAAAGAATGTTAACAACAAATACTTTTTCACACCCAACCCAGTTCTGCAGAATCAGAATCAACGTTGAGTTTAAGCAAGCGAATGAGCCAATTGGAGTAAAGTGCCATGCAGATTTAAATTTTTCCCACTTGTGACGAATGCAGCTATCAATTTTTTTTGCATGCTAGCATGCTAGTTAACATTCGTGTCAGTCAGCTGTTGGCTCTCATGCTGGCCAATAGAATCTTCCTGTCTATTCGTGTCAGCCAGCTATAGGCTCTCACTCTGGCCAGTAGAAAATGGCCGCAAACTACATGCCGTAGAAGCATGAAAAAATCGATTATTTCCACTATCGATGGGAGTTGGGAAATGCATAGTCGGTCTTGGCCTTTCCCCTAACTTGGAGCATGTGCGTGTAAATTTCGGTGCACATCCGTCGAAAATTGCGGCCGTGCATTCGTTACACACACAAAGACACACATCCTGCCTTTTATAGATAGAGATTATGTGGGAGCTATTTCTACCGCACTATGTATTGCTTTTGTTATCTTTAACTTTCTGCGATTTTTTGGTCTTTAAACGTTCAGCAGGTTATTTAAAGACATAAATTATTTTTAAATTGCAAGAATGTTTAAGATAATAATGATTTACTGATACAAACCATACTAGTTAACCCACAGCTTGGGAAAATATGTTAATTCATACCTTTCCCATGGGTATTTACGCGAGAGTATAGCGAATCCGGCTGGAATTAGAACTCGGCTTGCTGACTTCCAGTTCCGAGCCGTTACCCATTACACAACCAGAACATCTAAAATGGCAACACATGGTATTCCCAAGCGATGACCCATCTAGGTACTGACCAAGTCCGATATTGCTTAACGAGAACTACTTTTCTGTGAATTCTACATTCGTTTTGCTTCCTGTCATCGTGGCACCACATTTTCCTGTTCTAATTATATTTATTTTTCTCTTTTTTATGGAATTTCGTATCTGTTACTTTTACTTATTATTTTCGACCGCTATACTTTTAGCCTTTCTCACAATTATTTTCCTTACCTTTTATTAATTTGTACCGTTTCTGATCATTGGTTATTTCCCTCTAACCATTTTTTCGCTTCTGTTTTCACTTGCTTCACTTTTTTTTAATTTCACATCATACTTCTTTTACTTTCACTTTCACTTTCACTTTCCTCTCGACATTTTCTCTATTACTTTTTTCTCATTACTTTTTGCTATATAGTGTTCATTATTTTATACTTCATGTCCGTCTAACCCCTTTGTCCTTTTTTCCCGCCTTCCTATTTCATTTACTTGTGAAAAGGAACAAAGATAAAAAAAATAAGGCGCGTTATGTTTATTCTTCATTCTTTGACGGTTTCTTAATTTATACGTTTTTTTTCTAACCATTTTTTATTCATATTTTGTAATATATAGTTTTTTTTCTTTTTTCGCTGGCTTCCATGGCGTATCCTAACCGCCACATTCTTGCTTTGTTCTTTATGTCTTTGAGCGATGGCCGCTTATCTCATTTTCAAGGTCACCCAGACATGTCCCCTGCATGGTTATTGTTTGTTTTATTTTTTTTTCGGATAGGGAGAGCATTATCCTTTTCCTTGCATTTGTAATTGTATTTCCTCCCTTATTTGTTGTTGTTTTTAAAAAAGAAGTAAACAAATGACACACGCCCACACACGCAGGAAAATACGCGCACACACATACACAGACACGCTCTCTCTCTCTCTCTCTCTCTCTCTCGTTAATCTCTCTCTTAGTCTGTTATTCTCTCTCTTGTTATTCTCTCTCACTCTCGTGCACTCGAAACTTATTTATCTATCTATTATATACTGTACCTATGAACACTAATGGGTATGTCCCAATCCTCATAAATACGTTGGACACTATTGTGAGGGTAATATGTTGTCTAAGTAGTCCACTGCTAGCAGTGGTTTACCTACTTCACGCCGCTGGCGAGTAATTTATTT